GATGATTTGGATCGGTACAATCCATGACTTCCGTCTCCCGAGTCGACTACTATACACAGCGTCGACGATAGGCGCGTGTAACAACTTCAATGAGTAAGGAAAGCTATCCACGCGAGAACCGGATGAAGAGAGTCAGCAAAAACGCGTTCCTTTGTAAGGCATACGTGGAGGTTAAAAGGCGTCGTCAGCACAAACTCACGTGCATAGCGAGAACGTTCCTAATTGGGAATATGATAGCTTTGACTTGAGAAGGAATGGTATAGATCCAAAGGCGAGTCCGATGGGGACACCTTGAATAAGATCTGCGCGAGAACCAGAAGCATTCAATATGGACCATAGACTGACATACCGCAAATGCTCACAGCACTCACTCACATAACACAATTAAAAGCGCAACTGCATATCTGTCCCTCGTGGAGAGACCTCCTGCACCTTCTCTCGAGCTTCCAGCTCTCTTCTCCTGGGCGATATCATCGTCGCTGTCGTCCTGAATTAAACGCTCCTGTTCCTCGCTGTGCCCATTCCCCAATGTCCCCATCCTCAGCTCGTCATCAGGCGTTTGAGCTCTCGTCGGCGTTCTATGTGTAGTTTGAAGCAGCTCTGTTCCACCGGCCGATGCTGATGGAGCCATGAGCGTGTCGGTCTCCTCAGATTGCTTTGTCAACCGTTCCTTCTTGAGGGTGGTTGGTGAGGGCGGAGAGGCGGAATGGACGATACCGTCTGTAGTAATAGAGATCCTGCGTCTGTGACGAACGCCAGAGTATGGTTGTATGTCGTAGTCGATAGTATTGTCGTTGTTGCTGGGCATCGAGGCACACCGTATATCCTTTACCGTCGTTTCAGTCAGCAATGCAATCGTGGCACAAAATTGGAGGCCGTCAAGGGTCCAGGACTACGATCACTTCACTTCCACGAAGAAGCCGCTCCATCGGAACAGCATACGCGAATGTAGATATAGTAAATACATTTTGGGGAGGTTGTCTCATACACTATTATATTACATCAAGTGCTTCAAGCAATGTCTTTTCAAAGGTCCATCCGCTCTCCCTCTCGCTTCCCGCCACTATTGATCCATTCCTCGTCCGCGGCGTCGAGGTCCTCGTCGAGATCCATTTCGTCCAATCGAGCGACCTTTCTAGCCTTGTGATTCGGATGGATAACCAGTCGGTTATGTGGCCCATCGAACGTCACTTTACATTTCTCGCCATCCCGAATTCGCTCCTCCAGCAGGAGCAACGACAGCGGGTTCAGCAAGTCGTGTTGGATCGCCCTGTTCAATGGACGAGCACCGTAGATGGGCGAATATCCGATTGACGCTAGGTATTGCTTGGCTTCTTTATCGAGATGGAGGGTAATCTTCTTGTCAGACAGCCGAGCTTGCACCTCGCGTAAGCGGATGTCAACGATAGAGGCGACATTTTCTTGAGAGAGTGTGCGCTATTGTTGAGAGAATGCTCAAATCAGTAAATTGGTTTCGCCCGAGTATCGCTGAGATTCATCACTTACGAAGATAACGATATCATCAATTCGGTTGATGAACTCAGGAGGGAAGTGACCACGGATGGCGCCCATAACGAGTTCACGTGTCGATGATGGCACCGCACCATGAGATTCGCCCATCTCATTTAGATATGCAGCACCAAGATTCGAGGTCATGATGATCACGCAATTCCTATTTGGCAGGAGATCGATCAGTATTTCAAGCGCCAATGACTGTAACAAACCGGCTGATTGTACTTACCTGAAGTCAACGACGCGCCCTTGTCCATCCGTCAATCGGCCGTCATCCAGGACTTGCAGGAAGAGTGTGACGAACTCTCGAGAGGCTTTCTCGATCTCATCGATGAGGACGATGCAGAAGGGTTTCCGTCGGACATAGTCTGTAAGCTGACCGCCGGATTCGTGTCTGTATGAGAGGGTGAAGAACCATCGATCAGTATATATATTGATAAGGCAAAGGGGAGGCGAAGTGGAGGCTAGGACATACCCAACATAGCCTGGAGGAGCTCCGATCAGCCGAGAAACTGCGTGCTTCTCCGAATATTCACTGGCATCGATACGAATCATCGCGTCGGGCGAGTCGAACATGAGCATTGCCAGCTATAAAGATCCATTCAGTCACAATGATCTTAGAGACATCACAACAAAATACCACCTACCGTCTTTGATAACAAAGTCTTCCCAGTCCCGCTCGGCCCCGCGAACAAGAAGCTCGCAATCGGCCTCGCCGCATTCGAGAGCCCGCTCCTCGATAACCTTATCGCGTTGGCGACAGCACTAACAGCTTCAGGCTGCCCAACAACCTGCTTCTGCAATATCCTCTCCATCTGCAACAACTTCTGCGCTTCGGAGCTAAGCAACCTCGCCACAGGAATGCCCGTCCATCTCGCAACGACCTCCGCAATAGCCTCGGGCGTCACAGCGTCCGCGACCATCTTGGTTCCTGATGCGTCTTCAAGTTGCTTTTGTTGCTCAAGGGATACGAGTTTCTTCTCGAGTTCGGGGATGGCGTAGTATCGGATATCAGAGGCAGTGGCGATATCATAGCGTCGCTCGGCCTCGTCGGCCTTGGCTCTAAGGACGTCGATCCGCTTCTTGACTTCGTTGACCTCCTCGGCGGTTCGACGCTCGCTGTTGTAGGTGGCTTCGAGAGGCCGGAGCTGTTCGTTGACGTTACTCAGGGCCTTCTGTGCGATGGCTAATCGTTCCTTTGAGGCTGGATCTTTCTCGCGCTATAGAAAACATAAGTTACTACGTGGAAGATTTGCTATTGGAGGTAGGCGGTTAGGGAACGTACCTCAAGCGCATGGATCTCGATGTTGAGCTCTAACTTCTTTCGTTCCAGGTTATCAATGGCCTCTGGACGAGTCTCCCGCTCCGCCTTGACATTTGCACAGCATTCATCGACAAGGTCGATAGCCTGTCACATGATGAGTTAGTTCAAAGTTGGTTAGGCGAGATTCAGGGGTACCACAACTCACCGAATCGGGAAGCTTCCTCTGCGTGAGATACCGATGCGCGAGCGTGGCGGCCTGGATCAGCGCAGGATCGAGGATCCGCACACCGTGGTGCACTTCATACTTCTCGCGGATACCACGAAGGATAGAGATCGTCTCTAGGACAGTTGGCTCCTTGACCATCACTTGCGAGAATCGTCTCTCCAGCGCAGCGTCCTTCTCGATATACTTGGAATATTCTGCCAGTGTTGTTGCACCGATACAGCGAAGCTTGCCACGGGCGAGCATTGGCTTAAGCAGGTTCGCAGCATCCCTAAGATAAGACAAAGTCATTGCGCGTCAGTACAGATCGTTCCAACCACAGGATTTCGTGAGACATACATAGATCCTGATCCTTGCCCGGATACAAGGAGATGCATTTCATCGATGAAGAGAATGACGCCGGGGCCCTGTTCGGACGACTTGGCCACTTCGTCCAACACGGATTTGACACGTTCTTCGTACTCGCCCTTGTGAGACGCACCCGCCATGAGCGCTCCCAAGTCCAACGAGAAGACACGGCCAATCAATGATGCAGGCACGTCGCGCTTGACAATCCGGAGGGCGAGACCCTCAGCAATCGCAGTCTTTCCGACACCAGGTTCACCGATGAGCACGGGGTTGTTTTTGGTGCGCCTGCAGAGGATGCGGATGACTCGACGGATTTCGTTGTCCCTTCCAATGACCGGATCGAGCGACCCTTCTTCAGCCAAGGACGTGAGGTCAACCGCATACCTTGAAGCAAGAAATCATCGTTAGTATAGGTAAGAGCTGTGAGGTACTTCGGTTCCAGGCGCTTACTTCTTGAGTGCGTCGAACGTGCTCTCAGCCGTTCGTGAGTCGACTTTCTTTCCTCCTCGCATCTCCTCGACGGCTGTCCGAATCTTGTCTATCGATACTCCAGCCTCTTTGATAATGGTTTGGATAGAATGATCTTGTAATAGAGCGAGGAGAAGGTGATCTTGAGCAATAAATGAGTCATGCTGCAAGTAGCGATTGTGAGTATTGAAACAGCTGTGTATGATAAGCAGGGCTAGCACTCACCATCTTGCGTTTCAAGCCATCTGCTTGAACGAGCACCTTTGACATGGCCTCGGTGGGCTCGGCAGCAGCTGGTGCTGGGTCTTGTTTCGGGATACGTACGAGTTGTTTTTGGACGCCTCGGTTGACCAAGGTCTGTGCAACGGGACAGATCAGCAAAAGGCTTTGGGAGGAGCAAATAAAAACTGTAACGCTTACTGGATCGCCACCAGCCTTGACGATTGCGGTATGTAAGATCGGTTGCTCTTTCACATCCGGTTCGGCATTTAGAAAGACGGACGCGAGATGCACAGGATGAGCTGCAGATTATGAATGCGATCAGAATCCGTAACGTACAATGCTGATCGATAGTGCTTACTTTGAGCATTCGAGTTATCTACAGCGAGATGAAGAGCAGCACCAACGGCGTCTGCTGCTTTGTCGGTGAGCGACTCGAAGATGTTAAGTCCTCTTGAAGACATCAAGGGTTCAGTTATCGGGTGTAGCGATTTATGGGTGTGAGTTTGAGTGAAGGCAGATCGTTGCTCGACTGCTGCACCTGTTATATATCCGTGTGAGACACCCTTACTTCTGATGTCGCTGGAATGACGTCGAACGAGATGGTATCGTCTACAAGGCCGTCGAACGCCACAGAACAAACACGAACATTCTAGCTTGTTCCACCACACTTGAGGCACTAGTGATATATTCTCTCGCTTGACATCAGGCGAATCTGGCATAAAGTTTATCTAGAGATGTCGCCAATGGCAGCGTCATTTGAACAAGCCTGGGCCCTTTGAGGGCTAGCCACGACTATTTCTGTCCAAGTAGCCCAATGGTCATACATATGTCGTGTTCACCATGGACGCAAAGGCGTGATATGTTTGCTGTAAACCTTCAGGCCCATGGGCTAACGATGCAATCAAAAAGAAATACTCAGTGTATCGGAGTCGAAATAACTTCCCAAAAGGGTAAAAGATCAAGTGCCTCCAACCAGGATTGAACTAGTGACCTCAGCATGTACTTCAGAAGACCGGAAAGCTTCTGAATACGAGTGCTGCGCTCTACCACTGAGCTATAAAGGCGGATGCTTGGCAATTTAACTCTTTAGCTTATCATCAACTAAATAAAGTTTGCTTGAAGGAATAATGTGTGGGGCGGAATCCCTTGCATCTTCCCGCCTAGATGCCCTAATTCATCAGAAAGCAATATACTAATGGAGATAGTCTCCAATACTTGATTCAGAAAGACAGGATCGACGTCGCAAATGGATGGTGGAAGCGTCAAATCCACGTCGCAAAGGAATCGGTGCCCTCGTCACGCTCGCCTAGCCACTAAGCCAACGCTGACGGGTTGTGCATTAGTTCATATCCTTGCCATCGTCTTGACAACCCAACAACGTGTCCGTTCAGCGTTCGCTACTATAAGTGTGAGACTCCCAAGGGTTATTGATCACATTATTTATTAATATATGTCTGTGCACCGACTGTGTCCTTGAAGGTGGATGAGAAAGATCGGCACTGGAGGACATTAACAACAGTGGTTCGACATAGGCGTGTGGCCGAGCAATCGCTTTCCAAGAATACGGGGTATGGCAGCTTCCCCAGCATGATCAACCGTTCCGCTGGCGGCATTGCATTCCATACACCTTCCACGCCCAACCCTACGCGCGAGAGATATTCTCATGCATGCCAAGATGCGGCGCCCCTGATTATATGTTCCAAACAAAAGAGGGCTCGCGAGATATGAGATTGAATGATCAAACGGGCGTAGGTGCGACACTAAGGCGAGTCCGAATACGAGTGGTGTTGTTCCCAATTCTCCAACTTATCCGGCTCTAGAAGTACTTATAGTGATCTTTAGGTGAATCGTAATTTCGACAATAGTCTGCCGCTGCTGAGCCAAATGGAGTTAGACGGGGATACACATAATGACTTGGTGCACGAACGAGGAACCTTCGGTGTTGTACAACCCTTCAGATCCCAGGCATCAAACTACAAGTCCGACGATCACATTCTCCCGTCGCGTCTAGCTTTACGCGAACATAAGATGACCAGACCATATCTCGCCCTCTCCATCCCAGAGCTTCTCATATGGATCCTCGAGTACCTCTCGGGGCTTATGGTAGCGGCTCTAGTCTGCAAGGCGCGGTCGGCCCCAGCGATGGATACCAGGTGGAGAACACAAACGATCATGCTGAGCAGCTTGTTGGCGAAGCTGGCTCCGATTGGAAAGGCCAAATATGGTCGCGCAGTGGTAAGTAAGAGTGACCTTGAGGTGGTGAAGGACTTCCCGATTGATCAACTTGGCTATACAGCTCTCCCCTAAGACCTCTATCACGCAAGACGTTCGGAGTCATTTCCTGGAACAATACGCGAATCGGGTCACCAAGCTCGTACTCAACGTAGAATTCGAGACGGACTCCTTAGCCCTTGTCTCAAATCTATTAAAGACGTTCGGTGGACTGTTCTGCAAAAACCTTACCTCCTTGAATTGGCCGGCGGACGTGGGCTACGACACCGAAAATCACCGGAAGCTTCTTGACCTGCTTCCTGCAACGAAGCTCCAAGCAGTTAGAGTCACGATAAAGGACAGTTTTTTCACTACAAGTACCTCGTTCTCACAACTGGCGCATCGCGCAACACAGATCCGAGAGATCGTAGCCCCCAACCGCGCATACTCCTTCAACTTCTCAGTGTTCTCTCAACTGCGATCCCTATCATATAGTGGGACTCTATTCATATCAGACTACCACAGCCTGGCGTGTTGCCCGCATCTCAGGGTTCTGCGTCTGGGGAAAACATGGGTACAAGTTACGTCGAGGCAGTGGGACAACGGGGCGGCTACCGTATTTCCACGCTTGGAAGAATTCAGAATCCATCCCGACAATGATGCAGCTGACAATATGATCCTACGATCTGTCATGCCGGCGCTCCGTTCTTTGGAGTATCGTAGACGTGAGATGGGACCTCACAGCATACCCCTCCTAAACAGTGTGATCCGAACGTCTCACCATCTAGAATCAATCGCTCTTACGGCCCAAGTACAGCTATCTCAGCTGGAGTTGATTCAGCATGATGGTGTCCGCAATCTGTTCTTCCGAAATCAGTATGAAGCCAGGTCTAAACTAGTAGACGCCAGGGATCATCTTTCGACCATCGCTCGCACCTTCCCAAAGCTGGAGAAGCTAGATGTCGTCTGACATAGAAGTCCATGGCATTGGAATGTCCTACAGCCGCTCTTCGATCATCTTCCTCATCTGCGAGATCTCAGACTCTCGATAGACGTTCCAATCTCGTCGCTATCCGAGACGCCGAAAGGAATCACCCCAATACAGTCTCTCACGAGTCTCGTGTTTAAAGATCTCACCATCAAATCAGCCGAGGTCGATCCATTTTACAGTTATCTTGACATCTTGTGTCCCAATGCTCGCATTGTAGAGGAATTTTTCTCTTTAAGCTTTTGTACAAGACGAGAGGCTGATGCATGATGGGGTGTGGTGGTCTGGCCTTTGTCAAGAGGTTCTTTAACTGCGAGGGATAACGGTGTTCGAGATTTGGGACAGAGGCCTCTTTGCGAAGGGCGTTTATGCTGAACAGGATCATTTTAACTGAAGGTTGACGCATCAGAGTTTTCGATATGTAATTGGAATGCAGGGATTTCGTTCCTTACATTGTACACTTGAGCTCAAATACGGACGCGGGATGCTACAAACCACCAAGACGGAATAAGAAGCCAAAGCAATAGGTTGGATGCACACAGCAGAAAGGTAGAGCGAATCAGCACACAACACACACAAGAAATCCCGCTTAGGGGAAAACTCCTGCGAAAAGTGAAATAAATAATAGTGACTGGACTCATGCTGAAAACGATAAAAAGACGGGATGGGGATGATGTTACATGCTCGCTCTCTATAACGCATAAATGTAGGACGGATGGCTGTCTCCGAGCTGCTTCTTGGATTCATACGAGTCGTCGAATTGTCCAGAAGCGCGAATGGCTGCCTTCGTCTGATTCTGTCGATCGTAATAGAAACGCGTGACGAGCGGGCATACGCACATCGCGCATGCGAGGGCTAGGTTGATGCTAGTGCCCTTATGGTAGCGTGGTGGGTCGTCGAAGAGCCATGTGGACAGGATGCTACCGCAGCTAGTGGTCATGAGACCTAGAATAGTACCATGGATGAGAGAGATGAGGCGATGAATACTTGGGAATGAACGTACCCAATCCAATCATCGTTCCCCGCTTGTAATGCGGCCAAGTATTGTTGGTGATCCAGGCGGCAATGGCGGGTGCGGTCGCGTAAACGCCAATCACTTGCAAAAAGATCGAGCCGTAAAGAGTGTGTTTGTTTGTGGAAGCTAGGGACACGAAGAGATCTAAGCTTTCTTTCCTTTTCTGAAAGAAGAAAGAATTAAAATTTACTGTAAAAGATCGCGTAGCCGATGACGGCGCAAAGAGACATAGACGCGGCGGCATAACCCCGTTGTTGATACTTGTCCGAAAGGAATGCCACGGTTATACTCACTTGAATATGCGGGGAAAAGGAGTTTTTCAAAAGTCAGTTCCGCAGAAAGCAGGTGTTTTCAAAGTTAATCTCACCGACGGCTGCCACAGCGAACGGAGGTACGGTAAGCAGTTGCGTCTTAGTGTTCGAGTATCCCAGATTCTGGATGACTGGACCGGAGAAGTAGCCAAGGCCGGCCAACATACATCCATTGGTGAAGGTGATGACAGCGAGGAACAAAGCTTGAGGGTCCATGAAAGCGCTGAGTCCTTGGCGCACGTTGATGGGGCCGACGTCCTCCTCGACCCAGCTTCCATGTAGGGCTTTGTTGTAGGCGGCATTCTCATCTGGAGTGAACCACTTGAACGTCGCGGGTGAAGCGGGCATGACCAGGAAGATGAAAATGGCGAGCAACATGGTGGCGCCTCCCTCGATGTAGAAGATCCATTGCCAGCCCCTATGTCCGAGGGTTCCGTCCTGAGGTGGCCAGCGTGAATATCAGAAGGAATCAAATGAAGTGCGGTTTGTGGGATCTCACCATTTGCTGAATGGCTGCAGCCAGGAGACCAGAGAAGCCGCCAGCTAACGCTGTTGCGCAGTACAAGAGGCTCATACGCAGTTGCATGTCTTCGCGGCGGTAGAAGCTGGACAAGTAGAAGATAACGCCAGGAGAGAGACCACCTATTGCGTTCGAAAGGTTGGAAACGCATGCCTTGCGGTGAATACGAGACCATCACCGTACCTTCGATCAATCCAAGACAGAATCGAGCGCCCACGAAGCCACCGTAGTTCTTGATGGTGCCCTGGAATATTGTGATCAACCCCCAGAGGAACGCAAGGGTGGGCAAGTGACGATTGGGACCGAGTTTCTTGGTGACGAGATTTGACGGGATGTCGATCAGGATGTAGCTCACACTAGAAGGGAAATTACGACGATCCCGTTCGTCAGGTCGTGCACTTAGAATAGCGATACCTAGATGACAATAACTGCTCACTAGAATATGGTGAGACCGACAGAATATTCGTGGTTTGTGAGTTTGACATCCTTTTGGAAGCCAGCGACTTTGGCATTGCCGATATTACTTCGATCCTGTTGACCAAATAAGGCTTAGCTAGGTTTCCTTCGAAAGACCGCCACATTCCCCCTATCGTGATTAGGTAACTCACGAGGAATGACAAGAAGTCTATTCGTGAGAAATGATCCCGATATCAGCAGATTCGCTCTTTAAATAGGTGTGGAAAAAAAAGGTGGCTTACAGAGAAGGATGGTGAGGGGTAAGACGAATAGATCGACTTTCCTCCTGGCTCGCTTCATGATGGCCTCATCGCTGCTAACGATCGCACTCGCAGCCTTGGATGTCAAGGCAGAACTTGGGGAAGTGCTATTGGGGTCGGGCTTTTCATCGGCGGCGCTCGAAATGTTGTGCTTCTCGTAATCACTCATGCTGGGGAGCGGGATAAGGAGAGTGAGACCGTTTAGTGTGAAAAACAAACGGACAGACAGACAGACGCGTGAGAGGGGGTATTAATGAAGGAGGGAAATCTGTTTGACAAGCAAGCTTTTGATGCTTAGTCGGT